GACACTGAAGACTGGCGTAATGATGCTGAAAATACAGCTTTATCATCACAGGAATACATTACAGTTTAACAGATACTCACATAGAAAAAGGTTATTTTAAATTCTAATAATTTCATATTTTTTACTGTATTTTAGATCAAATAAATGCAGCCAGAAGCTGAAACATTCAAAACCTTAAAGATTCCAAACTTCTCCGGCTCTTCAAAGACAAAACCCTAACTTTTCTCCTGCCCCTCATGGCTCTGCGAGCTGAAAAGTTTGCGCCACATGAAGGATAGAGCGAGCCTTGTGTGAACGAACCTCGTCGGCGTCCACAATCTCCATCACTCGCTCCTTGAAGAACTTGGTGAAGACGTCGCTGGTGACGGCAGCCGCCTTCTTCATGAGCGCCAGCTCTCCGTCCTCCTTCACCGCCATCGTGTACGCCACCGCCGTGCTGACGTCCACCTGACAGACCACCAGAAACGCATTCGTTCAGCTTATTTGATCGCAATGTCATCGGTGTAGTAAGGTTTGCGTGTGAAAGCCAGTCAAGCGGACCCTCTCCAGGCCCTCGGCCGTGATCATGTCGCTCCAGCTCTTCATGTATTCTCCCGGGAACTTGTCCTTCATGAACACGCCGACCGTCTTGCCGTCTCTACTTCCGCGGATGGCTTCCATCATCTTCTCGAAGTTCACCTTGTTGCTCTCGTTCTGTCACACAATCAGATTTTAAACCCGTCGCTGCTTTAAAACGTTTCACAGGGATTCAAGTGTTCCGTCAGTTCATAAAGAGAGTCACGTGCTTCATTCCTGAATGATTCAGCCGTTCGAACTAATCAATTGAATGAATGATTCATTACTTCAGAGTTATGTGCCTCTAGAAGCTTGCGTTCTGCAAGTGAACGGCGTATTATTGTGCCATCTCAAAGAGGCACAAAATCACTTTCACTGACTTTTTCATTAACTGTTCCCTCCTGGTGGAATGACCATGTTCCATCCTTAACCATCTTCAAGAAACGACTAAAAACACATCTGTTCCACCTTTATTTGACCCTCTAACTCTAACACTTTCTATTCTATTTTAATTCTACTTTATCTATATTTATCATGAAACTGAATCCGCCAGCAGGTGGCGGCAAGTCACTGATTTTATCACTGAATCATTCATTCAATTGATTCGTTCAAACGGCTGATTCATTCATTCATTTTATTCGTTCAAACGGCTGAATCATTCAGGAATGAAGCATGTGACTCTCTTTATGAACTGACGGAACACTTGAATCCCTGTTTTCAGATCACGGTACGGTGTGAAGCGTGCGATACCTTTTCCCGGACGAGCAGCGTGATCGGAGGAATCCCGTTTGCGTTCTCGTTGCCTTTCGTGACGGCAACCTGCTTCAGGAACTCCACCTTCTTCTTACTGGCCAGAAAAATGATCCTGGTCTCGCAAAACACCATGATGGTGTCGGTGAGCTCGTACCCAAACAGCCACGTCTGCGGATGGAGGACAACACAAATGAACATGCGATGACCGCTCGGATGCTGTTAATATTTCAGAAGCAGTGTTTTGTTGCACCTGAAGGGCTGTAGATTTGGCGTAGACGATCTCCTCGTCGACTCCGACAGAAACCACGATGGCGTCCACCTTCCCGAACTCATCTTCTCCTTTCTGTGAGGGAAAAACAGCAGGATTATGGTTATGAGAAGCTCGTCATATCACGCTTATCCATTCAAACACTTTTCTAAAGCACTAAACGGTTAGATTTACTACCATACAATAATTGTTGGCTTTCGGTACAAGCTACATTTCCTACATAATGACAACTATCATAATATCAGATAATTGTATAATATATAATCAAATTATATAATATAAAACAAAATAATATGGATTATATACAGTATATTAAATCATTATAATCTTTTTATACATTATAATTGTATAATTTTATATTATAATAATTTACAAACTAAAATAATCACTTATAACACATGGTATTAAGAAAGTAATATCGAATTATTATATTAAATAATGTAATAGAATAGTATGATATATAAAAACATTTATAATATACTATAACAAATATATAAAGTACCCAAAAATACATAATTATTACAATTAAAACATTTAAATAATTACATTACAAGATTATAATATAATTTAAATTCTACAAAACATATAGATTACAGAAAAATAATATCTACAAAACTTCTCAATCTCAAAATATTACTTGAACAATGAAGCAGCGCTGAAGGGAAAGAAAAGTTCTCAGGCCTTTGAGTGTTTGTTGTAACAAAACAACTGTTAAAAATGACAGCAGTATTTTCTTCTCTACTTGCAGCATGTGTCCATATGAGCTAGCTCGCAGCTAATGCTACATCAGACGGAACTTCTGCGCCCGAATAAAGCCTTTACCTGAAAAACATTTACTAAAACGCGAAGGAAACGCAAAGACCGCGGATGTATTTGACGCCTGCGTTTCCAACGCGCGTTACAGCCGAGCGGAAATGTCGCGAAAGCGTTACACGCTAACAGGCTAACGCGTTAGCCGATGAGCTAACCGCACGAAAACGACACGAAAACGCGCGCAAAGCTCCGCGATTCCGTTCCAGAGAGAAACTAACCACCGGACAGAGCGACGGAGACGAACGCGGCGGCCCGCGCGGGTTTATATAACCGTCACACGGAGACGAGGCCTGAGAATGTGTGAGAGAGAAGATTTTCAGCATCACACAGGCGCAGAAACACATCATACGGCAATAAGTGTCTGAATATGATCCGTGAGATGATCTGGCGGCGTTTGTGAGCTCTCCGTACCTTCCAGTTCCCGTAGAGTCGCTTGATGCGGCGGTAAAACGCGTCTTTATCCAGATTCACCGCCATAATATCACACACACACACACACACACACACACACACACACACACACACACACACACACACGCACGCGCTGAAGTACAGCAGCGCAGAGCGGACACACACACTGGACGACGCGAAGAGATCGAAAACGCGAAAAATAAATGCGATCTCAAAGATGTCGATTTAAAAAGACGGTACTTCTTTAAAATGTGTCGGTTCAGTTTTGAACGGGTCTCAGTTGCGCTGATGATGATGTGAATAAATCACTTTAAAACACGCATGTGCGCGACTGATCTTTAGCTCCGCCCTCTTTCTGCATCTATTTAATTTTTTTTATTTATTATTATTGAACATATATATAAAGGTAAATACACACATTTACTGCTCAAAGCAATATTTAACATTTATTTATTTTAATATATTTAGAAACAGTGACGTGATTGTTTTTATTACTTTATTTTTACTCATTTAAATTAATTGTATTCATCTCTTTGTCAGATTTATTTATTTATTTCTCTGCCATTTTGTGTCTGTTTAGAGCATATATGTTTATTATTATTTTGAACGAAAGACGTGCGTGAAACACGATATGTTTGAAAAAAGATGCAGTCAGTGATGTTAATCTGCTAACTATAAATTGACTATTGGAGGGAACGGCGGCGTTTATTACGGCGTTTGTTTTCCCGCGTTTCCCGCCCTGAGGCTTACGTCATCCAGCGCGGGGCCCAATGAAATCCCGCCCTGACGGTCACGTGCTGCGCGTCGCTCGCGCTTAAAAACCTGCCCCTGACGCTTCTGGCCGTCCGCGCGCACGGCTCTTTCCCGCCGGAGCACGTGGTTTGCAGCGCGCGCGTTGTCAGATTGATTAAATGGTGTTTAAAAAGATAATTTAACGAACATCTTCGAGCTAAATGATGTGTTTGAGTAATAATAAACTGCACTGTGACACCTATTTTACTTTCGACCACGTCTTAAAGCTGCGCTTCTTATCCTTTTAGACTCCAAGGCCCATAATGTATGTTTTAATTTACAGAAACTGGATGTAGGAACATTTATTAGCCATAATTTGTGATTCCAGACGTGTCAAGAAATGTGTGCCCCTCATTAAAAACATCTTGAAGCATTTTAATTTAGTTTATTTTAATATATCAGTAATAGTAATTATACTAATAATATACTAATTTAAATAAATAAGTGATTTAAAATAAATAATAATAAAACATTGTATTAATCTCAAATGCTGAAGTTAGTAATGACACCTAGTGAAAATTTTCTGCTACAAAAATACTCCTCTTTTATTGTTTACTTTATCCAACATATGAAGGAGGACAGAATTCCCAAAAATTTGAGGATTAAAATGTCTTATTAAAGTTTAAAACGTTTCATAAGCAAAAACAAGCATCAAAGTTATACAACTATTATGTCATATATATATATATATATATACTGCAAAAAAATTTGATTCTTTTACCATTTAATTTTTACCAAATATTTTGCTATTTTATATTTCTATTCTTTGAAAAATTCACTTTGTTGCAAACAGAAAAGGTTATTAATTTAATGTTATCTTATAAGTATTATTAATCAGTTGTTTGAATTCACATAAGGAAAGATTATTTTATGTGTGTAATAGTTACGGATAGCGTATTTTCGCGCTCACTGAGAGAATGTTCGCTGTGCGCATGCGCGTCCCTCACGAGACACGAACGGCCGTTGAGGATTCCCGCCTCGCCCTCATCCTTCTCTCTGTACTCCTCTACTCTTCAGGTACTTGATAAAAACACATCAAATTCACCCTCATTTTGTTTATACGACATTATCAGAACTCTGATGGGTTATACGTGTATAATAGTTGTTTTTGTTCTTTATAACGACAGTTGAGCGCTGAAGTGATCGCGAGTAGAAAGGTTAAAACGTGACAAGGCCACTTCATGTGAATTAAAAAGATATAATGTGTGTGTGTTACATTTATGTTGTTTTAAACATATACATATAACATATATTTCTTCACATTTCTCTAAATGTCTATTTCTTCAATTACATTGGACTGTATTGTTTTATATATATATATATATATATATGTGTGTGTTTATATATTTTATATAGCGTCCCTTTAGTCATTGTAGGGGACAGAGAGGTTATAATTGAAGAATCATCCTAATAATATATAAAGCAAGCGTAATGACCAAAGAAACACATTACTGTTTTATTTCTTTTTATTTTTTTTCCATTTGATTGTTTATTCAACTCACATACACGATACAGTACGAGAACTGAGATGATGATACGGTCCAAAAAGTCAAAGGAATAAAAGAAAAATCCATCACATTTTCATGAGCAGTTACATGAATAATGTTGGTTTCTGTACATTTGCCCCAATATAAAATCTATTCGTTTTTAATCCACAGCGTGCGTCACGGTAAGTTCAGAAAATGTAAAAGATATTAAAACACTCCTTTGCAAAAATGTACCATAGTAGCCACAGTTTCTCAATTACGGCGTTAAAGCTCGCGGGTTCGATTCGCAGGCAACGCATGAACCAATTAGATGTACAGCTCGAGTCACTTTGGATAAAAGCGTCTGCCAAATGCATTCGTGTAAATAGAGTCTATAACTGTTGTTAGTATACAGGGCTGGACTGGGATAAACAATCGGCCCAGGCATTTTTTGGTCCAGGCGGCCCACCACCATTTATATATATATATATGATATACACTACCAGTCAAAAGTTTTTGAACAGTAAGATTTTTAATGCTTTTTAAAGAAGTCTCTTCTGCTCACCAAGACTGCATTTATTTGATCCAAAGCACAGCAAAAGCAGTAATATTATGAAATATTTTTAATATTTAAAATAACTTTTTTATTTGAATATGTTTTAAAATGTAATTTATTCCTGTGATTTCAAAGCTACATTTTTAGCATCATTACTCCAGTCACACGATCCTTCAGAAATCATTCTAATATGCTGATTTGCTACAACAAAAAAACATTTATTATTTTTATTATGTTGAAAACAGCTGAGTAGAATTTTTCAGATGATGAATAGAACAGCATTTATCTGAAATGGAAATATTTTGTAACATTATGAATGTCTTTATCATCACTTTTGATCAATTTAAAGCATCCTTGCTAAATAAAAGTATTAATTTCTATCATTTCTTTCCCCCCCCAAAAAAAACACGAAAAAAAAATTCTACTGACTCCAAGCTTTTGAATGGTATACAGGGCTGTACAATGCGACATGTATGTCGCACGTGATACGAAAAAACTGGTCTGTGCGATGAATAAATTTACCACTGTAGCAAAGAGACTTTTTTAAAAATCATAAAAATATTGAATCAAAAATAAAAAATTTGACTGGTAGTGCGTGTATGTATGTATCACACTCATATCACATATAGTTGTTTTGGATAATCACGAGTCCGAGTCTCAAGTCATTTAATGGCTCGGTGAAAAAATCTCATTCAGAATCCTCATATATTGAAATCTTTCTTATTTAAGAAACTGTTTTATAGGCTATAGACAAAATATTCTATGATCTGCTTTATAAAAAAAAAAAGAAAAAAAAGCGGTGTTAAGATGTAAGGTTATTGTACATCCAGCCTGTTATTTATAGGCTCTGTTTTAATCCATTACCATGTTCAAAACAATGTTTTCTGTAATGAAATTCTATAATAAGAGTCTGATCTACTACACAAGGAAATATGTGACACAGATATTACAAAACCATACAAATAAAGTATTTATTTATTATATAAGTCTGGGGTATTCAATTAAAGTTCCAAGGCGCACCCTCTATATTTTCTTCCAAGCAGTATTGCATTTTTACATTTAGATACATGCGATGCCATGTGACAGAAAAAAAATACTGTTTCTGTTGAGTTTAAGTCCTAGCCTAGCCATCTAACAACAATTTTCCCAATTATAATGACATTATTCTTTTTTGCAGTGTTCTTAGCCTACAGATTAATAATGCTAAATGTAGATCAGAAACGTCTGGTCACATCTGGTTTGAACAGTCAGAGTCATAGGTTATAGATAGCTAAATAGATAGTATGAAAAATAACTATATTTGCAGCATTGTTGTTTTCTGCTGTGTTTTGTTGTTTCTGTTGTTGTTAAAATAACCGCGTCATCCGCAGCTCTTGAACTTGGCGTGCGTCTGGAGAGAGAGAGTGCACGGAGCTGAAAGGGCTTGAATAAAGCACGTTTGGCTTTTGATAAAAATACTAGAGGATATAGCACTGAAATATATTTACCATAAACGACCCCGAGCGCTTGTTATGTGATCCGCTCTGCTTTTTTGACGCGCCATTCACTTAAAATGGTGCTGTTACGGCTCGCCGTGCTATATTTGCAGCATTGTTGTTTTCTGCTGTGTTTTGTTGTTTCTGTTGTTGTTAAAATAACCGCATCATCCGCAGCTCTTGAACTCGGTGCCGGCGCGCGTCCGGAGAGAGAGAAGCGCACACGGAGCTGAAAGGTCTTGAATAAAGCACGTTTGGCTTTTGATAAAAATACTAGAGGATATAGCGCTGAAAGATATTTACCATAAACGAACCTGAGCGCTTGTTATGTGATCCGCTTTTTTGCTCGCCGTTCACTTAAAATGGTGCTGTTACGGCTCGCGGTTCGGATGGATGCCGGGGCGGGGCGGATGTGGTCCGCCTTTTGAATATCAGTTATTTAAGGATAAAAGACTCGAGTTGCTTATAACATTTTCACGAGTCCTTTTTCTCGAGTCAAGCCTGGAGTCATTTCAGGTCGAGTCTGAGTCAAGTCTGAAGTCTATAAAAATGCGACTCGAGTCCAAGTCACTAACTCGAGTGCCCATCTCTGTTATGTATTCTACACTCATGGCATGCACACACATTAGGATATGTTAGATGCCTGCCTCCGCTGCGAGTCCCTATCAAGCACTTTACCGATTCTACTACTCTACTCTACTCTCCTCTCCTCTCCTCCTCCTCTCTGGCTCTTTGGCCCGCATCACTCACCACAGAGCAAGCCTGTTCTTGATAAAGCTGCTGTGAAAACGTGGGAGAAGCCGACGAGGAAGAAGTTGGAGTCTTTATATAGGCGGAGCAAAATACTTCATCGCTCCGTCTATAGCGCATTGTGATTGGATGTTTACGCTGTCAATACAGGAGACAAACCAATGCGCCACTGGCTGCTCGCTGTCCCTGCGTGATGGTCCTTGGCAAAAAAATAAAAAAACATTCTGTCGGCCCCTTAAGTGCGTCGGCCCACCGGGAAAATGCCCGGTATGCCCGATTACCAATCCAGCCCTGCTAGTATAATAAAATCACAATAAACACGGCGCCTCAAACAGTGCCGTTTTGATATTACGGTGGTTAGTTACCACAGTTCTATTGTAACCGTAACCATAGTAACAATGGAACTTTGGGCAGGAACTGAGGTTACCATGGTAATTTTTGCCCTTGTTCAAAATTAAATCAAGCGAGCGCCGAAATCGGGAACATTCGCACAAGTGACGTCATGGTTTTAAAACAGTCTGTCCATTATTAGCTTAAGAATCGGTTTAGTGCTCAATCGCACACACACACACACACACTCATGCTCTACGGCAGAAACACCCTCTATGCAGGCACACAAACAAGTATATGTTTGCATACTTGCGTAAAACGTGTTTCTGGACCGTGTTTTGACACGAGAACAAAAACGCCTGGTAAAAATGGCCGCCATCCTGCACTTTGACACCAAATACCACAGTTATATACAGTTACATTATGGGAATCTGTTTAAATACTCACTTTTTCCATCCTGAACACCTTTTTTTAATTACTATTTAAGAAATCCCAAGATTTCCGCTGCTTTTCTCTGAATCAGTCTGTACATGTGAAGATGCATGTAACGGTTTCACGTTGAGTCTTCGATGGGTTTTTCTGCTGTTCTTATTCAGCCAAAGCTCCACGCTACACACACACACACACACGTCTGTCCGTCTCGTTTGTGTTCGTGCGGTTCTATGTGACGGTGGTTGAGTTTTGTCCTCTGATGGCACACCAGGCCATGAACACGTCCCTGCAGACATCAGATACAAACATCAGTAACAGCAACAAATGAACACGAGTGCCAATTCAAGACTGCATACACTGGGTTATTGACCACTGACAATGTGTTTACTCATGGAGCCACACGGAGATCCCAATATCTCTGGAACTGAACCATACTGGGCCTTAAAAACGAAGATACTCAAAGACATGTTTGTTAAGAACCAACATCTAAAAGGATGTCAAGATATCTTTAATACTTTTTGAGTTACAGGCAAGAGACCCAGTGTGTGTTTGTTTATGTGTGTGTGTGTGTGTGTGTCTGTGTTTTTGTTGGTGTGTGTGTGTCTGTCTGTGTGTGTGTGTTGGTGTGTGTGTGTCTGTCTGTCTGTCTGTGTGTGTGTGTGTGTGTTGGTGTGTGTGTGTCTGTCTGTCTGTCTGTTGGTGAGTGTGTGTGTGTGTGTGTGTGTCTGTCTGTGTGTGTGTGTGTGTGTAAATGTGTACATACAATATATGTTTATATATGTAGTGTATTTATACTGCATACAGTATATACTGTATTATACAGTGGGTACGGAAAGTATTCAGACCCCCTTAAATTTTCCACTCTTTGTTATATTGCAGCCATTTGCTAAAATCATTTAAGTTAATTTTTTTTCCTCATTAATGTACACACAACACCCCATATTGACAGAAAAACACAGAATCGTTGACATTTTTGCAGATTTATTAAAAAAGAAAAACTGAAATATCAC